CCGGGCCGTTCCTCGGGGGACCCGTCGGTCCCACGGCTACGCGCCTCGGCGCGGCGTCCTCGCTGGCTTCGTCCCGCTTCAGTGCAGCTGCTGTCCCGTCGCCTGGATCGCCGTGTCAGTTCTCACCTGAAGCCCCACTGTCTGCTTCGTGCCCTGGCCGCTCATTCACCCACTGTTTCCTGGCCTGGTGCCCCATGCCCACTCATCTGTCTGCAGGTGCCACCCACCCCCAGAGAGCTCAAGCGACTGCTCTGAGTCGAGACCGGGCGTCCCCATGAGAGTCTGGCCCGGTGCCCTCACTGCTCTGCAGCACTGGCTCTCCTGGCCGTGTTCTGGAACGTGGGGAGCGGGCTGTCTTGCTCTCGCCCCTGAGCGCTGGTTGCGAGGGAGAGCCCTGCCAAGTTTGCTGGCGGTGATGTTTGGATGCGGTGGGGAACCAGCAAATCCTGGAGCTGGGGCCCGTGACAGCTCATTCTCATCTAGCGTGGGGGCTTCGTCAGATGGCGTTTTGCAGATTCAAAGGGATGAATGTGATTAGAATGACTGCTGTGAGTTTTAGAGGAAGTCTCTGGGAGGCTAACGAGCACGTGGGGAAGGCTGAGTCGTGGCTGCTGTCAGCACTGCCGTGGGAGCGGAATGAGAGTGGGCACAGCCGCACCGGCCGCACGCGGCGGCAGCGCCGAGCGCAGGGGCCCAGACTGGGGCGGGCCCTGAGTGTGGAACACCGAGGCTTCCAGGTTTCCCACAAAGAAGAAGGTCAAGTGTGTTTTTAGTAGTTTTCGGCGTTGGCTCCGTGCTGACGTGGTGTCCCGGAGGTGCTGGGTTGAGTGGCCTCTGTCCAACTCGTCTCGCCTGCCGCTGCTCTGCTGAGGCTGCGCAACAGTCCAGGTGGCAGGTGCGGCTCCTCCCGTGCCCCTTGACAGTCAAGGCAGGTGGGTGTGTCCCTGGCCCAGCCTCTGCTGTGAGTGTGCTGGAAATGCAGATTCTCAGGCCCAGTGCTGGGTCTTCAAAGCTCTCGAGGTGCTTCTGTGTATGTGTGTTTGTCTCGGGGCCACCTGGCAGCGTCTGGAAGCATTTTAGGTTGTCACTGCCAGAGGTCCTGGCGTCTCGTGAGTCGAGGACAAGGGAGCTGCTACACAGGACAGCCCCTGGCAAAGGAAAGTGTGGCTGCGAGTCGGTGGCGTGAGGTGGAGACGCTGGCCTGGATGGTGGGGCCAGACTGGCTCCCCGGCCCCAAGTGAGTGAACCAGGTGCCCTTCGTGCGGGTCGCCCGGTAGGAAGTGCGTCGCTCGCAGCAGGAGTCGGGGTTCACAGCGGGTGTTTGCTGTAAGGAGGCTCATCCTGCCCAGGACGCAGACGCAAGTGGTGGAAATTTATGATGAGCTCTAGCTTCTGACATCGTGGTTCCTTTCGTTTCCACTGAGATTCAGGTGGAAAAAAGAAAGGGGACAAGCTCAGAGGTTAGCCAGTTACGAGGAAGGGACTCATCAGGCTGCCGTTTCTTTATCAGAAGGTCTGTGCACCTGTCCCTGTTGTGGGCGGAGTTAGGCACCCAGATCAAGTAACTGGTGTGACCACGTGGGCCAGCATCGAATTGGCGGGCCTCACCACTTCCCAGGCATGAAGCCTGGCGTCTGGGGCAGCCTGGGCCTCGTGCCCGTCCCCTCTGGAAGGCTGGAGCCAGCTCTAGTGTACCCAGCGGTTGGTGTCTGGGCACTCGGGCAGTCATCTGGGCGTCCTGGGGTCTGAGAGCACCCAGCGGGCAGGGATGCGTGGCAGAGAGGAAGCACTGGAGTGACCGAATAACTGGGCGCCTCTCCTGCTGACCTTCCTCTTTCTCGGTGGAAGTCACATCCTCAGGGTGAGCGTCAGGGCTGGTTTTCTTCCTGGGGTTCAGGCGCTGGTCAGGAAGCAGGCTGACTGCTGCCTGAGGCACCAGGTGCAAATGAGCATTTTGTCTGTGCTGCTGGTGCCTCTCCGGGAATCTTCTGGAAAACGGCGGAATTTAGCACTTGCTCACAGTGCAGCCGGATGTGTGCGCCCCTGTCGGGGGGCGTTGGTGAGCAGGAGGGCCACTCGGGGAAGACGCGGTCTGTGCTGAGGACTTAACAGTGAGTTTCTTTTCTCCTCCCCTCCCTCACTCTCAGGTTCACTTTAACCGTGACGGATCCTTGATTGTCTCCAGTAGTTACGATGGGCTCTGGTAAGTGGAAACGCTTTACTGCGTCAAGTCCGCACATGTTGGGTAAAGGCCCCGCTGCGCTGTTTGTGCCTCTAGTGCTGAGCCTCTGCCCCTAGGAGCTCGTGGCCAGCAGGGGCTGCTGGCAGGTCACCAGACGCTCAGGACAGCTTTGGGGGAGCAGATGCCTCGGAGAAAGACTGTAGAGGGGTGGTGAGCGTGGCTGGGAGTGCAGGCTCCTGTCACCAGTGAGGCCCCAGGCGGGGAGCCGGGGGCGCTGCTGTCCTGCATGTGGCGCCTGTGGACATCGAGAGGGTCCTGGGCCCGTGGTGCTGGTGGTGAGGTGGGAGGAAGGGGTGAGATGAGGGTCTGCATGGGGGGCTGGTCACAGCAGAGACCCTGGCCCAAGGAGGGTGAGGGGAGAGCGATGCGGGACGCCGTCTCCTGCAGGACGTCTGTTCAGTCTGCGTGGGTGA